GAGAAAACAGGGATGGAGAATGATTGCAAAGAGATACAGGGAACTTTCCAGAATGAGATGGTTATTACATTGTTGTGTAATGTCAAAATTCATCAAACTGTAAACTTAAAATATGTACATATATACTGTATGTAAACTGTACTTCAACAAGTTGATTTTTTTTTTAAAAGAGGTAAAACTGACTAAGCCAAAGGACAATGAAAAAACAAAGACCCTATTTATAAATGAACATGACTACAGAATTGGGTTCGGACAAGATAGTTGAAAATAAAAATGAACACTTAATACACACCTAATAATATATAAGAAGTACGGGTATATTTCATAATAAAAAGACCAAAATGCAAAAGCCCAAAATATGTTGACTTATGACCACTGTTACCATTCAATCATTAATTACACAATTATATAAACATTTGGTTGAATAGTAATTATGCTGGATGTTGGAGATACAAACAAAACACAGTGCTTGCCTTCAAGAAACTTATACTCTGATGGGAGAGAAATAAAAATCACAAGCAACTTAAACAATGAAAGGAATAACAGGCAGTGAGAGCTCTGGATGAATACTAGAGTTAGAGCCTTGGGGCAGAGAGGAGTCAAAGAAAGCTTTCCATTTCCAGAAAGACTGCGGGGTAGCTGGAAGTGAGATTATTTATTTATCTATAAATATTCACTAAGCAGCCAGCATGTGCCAGGGACTGTGCTGAGTACCAGGTATACTTTAACAGGCAAAACAGAAAGAGTTGTTACCTTCACAGGGCCTAGAGTACAGACAGGGAGGCTAACAATAAAAAAGTAACAAGTGTAACAGGTATACCTAAAATTGGTGGTACATTATATGAGTGCTAAAATGAGGATAAACAAAAAGATACCAACTATAGATATGATGGTCTGAGAAGAGGACAATTAAGCTGAGTTCTGAATGATGAGAAGAAGCCAACAATTAGAGTCACCAAATTTGAGGAGGGAAATTTAAGGGAAAGAAAAAGCATACGCTAAGAGACAAAATTATGATGGCACATTTGGGTTAACTTTAAATAGTTCAGCATAGTTTGACAACATATAAATTGAGCGTGAGACTATAAAAAGGAAGTGGTAAGAAATAAGGTCCAAGCAGTAAGTGAGACCTAATAATGAAGGACACTTTTGTGCCATATTATAGAGCTGGTTTGCTTTTCTTCCCCTGGCCCCCACTTTGGTTTGTTTCAATTACTTACTTTACTCAAAATACTCATCACAACTACAAAAAGGAAAAATTCATGAAATAAAAAGAGCAATAACAATAACGTCAGATATTTAGAAGAGAAAAACTTAAAAAGGAGAAGAAAACTAGATTTAGAAAAAAAAATTACAGGACACTGAAAGGAGAAACATTTTACTATAAAGATTCAGGGGAAAAAAAAAAAAAAAACCTCAAGTAGCAAAAATCCAAACATAAAACTGACAGAATCATAAAAATGGTGACATCTGGTTCTTATTCTAATTTTTAAATTAATAATTCGGGGGTATAGAAAGACACACCTGAATCTAAAATGACCAAACCTTATCTCATAACCTTCATGTGAAAAAAAAAAAATTCCAAAATAGGAACAATCTACATATTTTGATAAAATTTTTAAAGAAAAATCAGACTAACAGTATTTTAAATTAAGTTTTGCTGCTAATTAATTACTCGGACAGGATGCTAGGCCAGACTACATGGTGCTTCTAGTTTTTCTATATACTCTATGCACTTCTGATAAATGGGAAAAGAATAGATGACCTGGCAGAAGGCTCAGACAATAATATGTGATTTACAGGACATGAATGCAGCTACCGTAAGATTTATCTGACAGCCCTCTCCGATAGTGGACTGTTGAGTATCCGATGGAATGATTTCTAGTCTAGAAAGTCTACTACTGAGTAGCCATACACATTATTTATTTATTAGATGTTTTGGGTTGAAACCATTTTTAAATGATGCACTTCACAATGCACAGTCATAAATTTAGCTTTAAACCCAAGAAGGGAGGTAGTGTTATTGGAATGTATGTCAGACTGAATTAGGATGAGCAAAGCAACGCTTTTATAAAGTGGCCTTGAATGCAATGTCAATTCTTTCAAAAATGATATTAATGTCAAATGAGCATGATACAAACACTTTACACAATGCTAGAATAATATTACTTGAGATATTTAGCATTGCCTTTAAATTCATATAATTTCTACAGGGTTTATACACATATACAACAAATACTAGACACAAATAAGTTACATGCTTGTGAAAAACTAAATCTGAAGTATAAATGAGAGTTTGTTCAATTTTTTCCTCACATCAGAGAGTACACAGCTTCCTGAAGAATGTATACAATCTTATTTTAAAGAAGTAAAAAAAAATTAAATCAAGCTTTGAAGTTTAAGTAGCTCTTGAATTATTTTACATGGGATTCAATATATGAATAAACCTAATTTAACAAATCTTCAGTATTTAACTTTACTCAAAAATGTAATGCTGAGTATGTGAAGAAAGCTTTTCTACTCTAAATAACAGGATTTTTGCCTTAACAATGTTAAAATATAAATGAGATAAAATATGAAATGGTGTCTAATCAACCCAATAATGAATAAGTGAATATTGAAAAATATAATCTTAGTTGAAGCTTCAAGAAAATATAGAGTGATCTGTTTGGTTTTAATGACAGCAAACCAAATGTGATCATTTCCACATTTCTTAAATTTCGGCCCTAATCTTTCTTTTGTAATAAAATGTGGCTAATTTAAACACCTCGTTAAAAAGAATGCAAAAAGAAAGTTATGAATGGATTCAAAGAAAATAATCAGAACATGGCTGACTGTCATGAAATTAACACCAACTAATTTGTAAAGTTTTAAATCAAATTTGCAGATGTTAAGTTCATAAGCATATCCCATTATTTATGTGATTAAAAAGGAGTTTTTGACCTGATCTTTCGATCTTTGGCATTCAATCCTCTCCATCTCCCCTTAAAAAATTAATTAAAATTTTAGCAATATGCTAGCTTTTCACTTCCCACCCTATCTCAGACTAAAAAAAATTATCAATCAAACTCAAGCCATCCCCACCCAGTATCTGCAAAATGTCGACTTCAAATTCAATTTCATATCTTTTAGGCTTTCATGTAGAAAAAGACAGTTCACTTCTTAACAAAATAAATCACTTTTGTGATTGCCAATCTGACCTCTTTGAATTAGGAAAATTCAAAGTGAAAAATGTAATTATCACCCCGGAACAATCTGTATACATCTGGAGCTAATTCTGGCTTCATTTTTCACATCATTTTTCACACTGTGCTACATCTTATAGAGAGGCCATGGAACTTTTGAAGAACTCATAAAAAATGGTAAGGACTTCAAATAACCAATAATGTATTTGATTTTATTCAAACAAAAATCTTGAGAATATCTGACTTTTGCAACTTACTCTACTAAGTGATCTTAATATCCTATTTGATTGGATTAGTATTAAACAGCACTTTGACATACATGATAAATAGTTGCATTAAAACATGTCATTCTTCATCTTTTTAGCTTCTAACATTCAACTACGTAATACACAATCTGAAACCACTTTGATGTATCAAGAATATATTCAATTCTTCTAAACTAAAAAGTGGAACTTTGTTATCAAAATTCACCTATGAAACGATTGTATCAGTATAAACAATTTCATACTCTGTGAAGAAACATCCAAAATGGTAAGCAAATGCTTCTTAAAAGTAAGGGTAATTTTGTATTGGTTTAAGAATGGCATGTGGTAATTTAGATCCAAGAAATAAACAAGCAATTATTTCAAATCAGATTAATTAATGAAAAATTTTCTACATTAAGCTTTTTAAAGGAGTTTTCTAAAGGAGATGATTAAATTATAAAAACAAGATTCTTGCTAAATCTAAAAATAATAAGCTCACTAGAAACATAACTAGTCCTCACAAGTTCATTATAAAAATCCATTAGGTGTAATCTCTAGAAGTAATTGTTCTTACTGCACTTTATTGACAATGTATATTATTGATTTTTCACACCTTCTATGATTCTTTAATTTGTATTCATGAAATGTCCATCAGCACAGTCTAAATAAATTTGGCAATATAGGTGCTAAAATGAATAAATCGATGCAAAGAAACATTAATTTTGCATTATCCTTATTCGTCAGACAAGTAAACCACAAGAGTTGTAAATGAAGGTCAAAGGTTTGAAATGGGTCAGAACCCTTGACCTCTAGACCAATACTCTTCCTATTAAAAAAGGCTATTTTAAAGTTTTAAGTAGGGGAATTTACTACCAGCAAGATATCATTTTTAAAAGACTACAAAGAAAACTCTCAATAAAAACATTCATCTGTTTAACTGCAAAACAGAAAAGAAAAACCATAAAAAGATAGATGATTTTTATGTAAGTTTTCTAAAACTCATTAAAGTTTACCACATGAGGTATAAAATTCCTGAACACCGAAAGCAATTTTGCTTTAGGAATTTATTTACTATGTCTTATTATGATGGCTGCCATATTTTTGTTGATGTTTTCCCAAATCTACTCTGTATGTCAAAAATAATTAGCAAGGACAAGAACTCAAAATTATTTATCACTCATTTTATAACCTCTACACAAAAGGGAAGTAAACCCATTATTCCTAGGGGAGTCAGAGTGGCACTCCACAAGGTACAGAAATAAATCTGTTTCTATAACCTTAAAATATGCAGCAAAGAAATTTAGCCACCTCAAGATCATTTGCTCTAGACATTTTTTAATGTGATTCTAAAAACCTGTTTCTCATTCTTCTGTTTCCTCTCAGCACTCACTACAAAATTATCTGGTAGTATCAAAGAAGTAATCCTTTTGCAACACAAATAAAATTATTTTAAAACTGCAAACTTAAACTCTATTACAGCAAAAATTTCTACTAAAACAATTATAACTTCCTTGTAAAATATTTCATGCAAGAATTTACTTTTAATCCAACATTTATTCCTGTTACTCACCTGAGAACACAGTAGCATAACCAATTCCACAACCGAACTACTAGACTTCATGCAAACCAGACCTATTTTAAAGAGAATTTAAAAGAAAAATTACAAAGTAAAAAACAAATGAGGGATTTGTTATACAACTTTATCCAAATTGGTTTTTAAAACAAAATTTAACATCTTGCTAAGAACCAAACCCACACACATTTGATCATATGAGTAAACAAGGTACTGTGTAATTACTTTAAACTTGGTATCAAAACTACAATTTTATTTGTAAACTATTTCATTTCAGTATTCACTCTACCAAAACATTAGAACTCCATATATAATGACATTTCACAATACTTAGAAATATGCACAACATATGCCATATTGATCAATATCATCTACATTTTGTTTTGGAGAGAGTTGATTGTTATACATGCAGAGAAGGGAAATGGCTCCCTGACCTTTGCTTTCTCCACCACACTCTCTCCCTTCAACCCTCTAGCTATCAATCAAGTTTCCATTTTGTTTCATGGCAGCAGACATCCCAAACACTCTTATTAGTACCTTGACCTGTGACCTCACACTAAACCTTAACAGAAGTGCAAGCGTTCTGTTATATATTCTTGATTTCTTATAAATAAATTCATTTACATTTTCTTTCCTGTTTCATTTGCATTCACCAAAAATATCTCAGGAAGGAACTTCTAAACAAAAGACTTCCTAAACGTTACCAACAAAATCTATAAAAGTTCATTCAAAGAACACTTCATAACCAGTATGTTAAAAAAGCAATGCCCATAATTAAAAGCACTAAATTACATTACTAATAATCAGAAAATTTGTAATTTTTCATTCTATATTTTTCTAAGCAAACACAAGTTTAGAATCCAGGGTGTAACAACTAAAATAATTCCTGGTGGCCCTTTATATGGCCTACAGAATTATCTTTTCTTTCTTTCTTCCCATGAAAGCTCTTGCAGGCATCCCATCCCTTCCTAATCTTTCTTTAATCTTCTCACTCTATAGTTCTTTTTCCTTATCTCTTTTAGTCATGCTGCCTCATACCTACTGATGGCACACACTGCCATTCTGTAGCCTTAAAAATAGCATTCACGTTAAATAGGTTGTTCCCCCCTTCACTTTTGAGAAAAGAACCATGTTTCTTAATGTCTGAAAAAAACGTGTAACATAGAAATAATGATGGTAATAGTGTCAGCACCAGCATAAAAATTAGCTACAGAGTATATACATGTTGCATTAAGAAAGCAGGTCATTAACTTAGACTAAATTATGGTTTCTATAGAGCTGAAATGAGCATAACTCTGCAGGCTACTACCAAGGCCAAAAGGAAGGGCAGAGCAATAGTCCATCTCATTGCTGGTGTAGCCCTCTGCTGGTCTGAAACCTTGTCATTTTACATAAAATGTAAACAACCAGGAAGTTCCATATACTTCAACTTCCAAAAAGTAAACTCAGATCTTTCTTCACGTAGGCCATTATTCCTAACTGCTCTATTCTAAAGAAACCAGAATTGCTACCAACTTTCCTTTAATGGCAAAACATTTGGGCTCTGATCTTGCTCAGCCTTTTTTACCCACTCAGAAAAAGAACAATAATGATAAAAAAGGCCTTGGGTCATCCAAAGTTAGAACTCAATGATCAATGAGTTGAGTGTTCAACGATGGTAAAATAAGTAACATTTCATAGTTTGATTAGAACAATTCAAGTGTTTTTTGGAATGGGGTTTTGTAAATTTGTAAAGGATGGGGAGGAGGACCAAGGCGGATGGTATATTAAATTTTAAGAGAAAGGGCTTTAGAGGACAAAAAAAGACCTTATATTAGATCTCTAATAATAAGCTCCCTGTCTAAAGGGCATTAATACTATAAACAAAAATATATAACCTTGGGCGCCAACAAATAAGAAATATCACCAAGAAAGGACTTGGTATCAGGCTGTACAACTTAATCATCTCTCTCTCTTTCTCTCCCTCTTGCCCTTGGGTGACATATGAAAAAGGAAGAAATGAATTATAAGCCAACAAATCTGTGTTCAGACTCCAAGAATTATCCAAAGGAAGGCCTTAAACAATAGAGTGAAGTTCTAAGTTGCTGCAGAAGTATTTTCATTTATGCACACACACATCCTATTATTGCCCCAGTTAGCAGAAAGCAAACAAGGTACAGTAGCCTCAGAGATCTGTAGGCTCCTAATCCAACTTCCGTAAAAGACTCTCAGAACAATGGTAGGGTTCATTTTGCTTGGTTTTATTTTTGGTTCATTTTTCAAAGATACGCAATTTTAGTCTCTTCAAAAAAGACAAACTCAGGATACCAAAGCCAAGAGTTTTATACTCTTCTGGAGTTTCATTACCAAAGACGACTATAATTTCTTCACCCAAGACTATTTACCCCACCTCCATTATCAATGCTTTTCCTTACTGCTAAATTCAGAAATATTAAATGACTTGCCAGATATTAAGCTGGCAACATAACATCTGAACCCATTGATCTGTCTAAATTTTCAAGTAGACCATGAAAAACAGTCATGACCATTTGCCATATGTAATGTAAGAAGTCTTTTTAAAAATACATATTTTAAGTCAACTTAGTTTATAGAAAAAGAGATGATTACAAACATTATTAGAAGTTTTAATAATAATTTAAGCAAAATGAACTCAAATTCTTATTCTGTATTTTTCTGGTTTTAAAGGTATTTGTATAGGGTGCCTTCATGGCTCAGTGGTTAAGCGGCTGCCTTCAGCTCAGGTCATGATCCCAGGGTCCTGGGATCGAGTCCCACATGGGGCTCCCTGCTCAGCAGGGAGTCTGCTTCTCTCTCTGCCCCTCCCTACTCCTGTTCATGCACACACGCTCTCTCTCTCCACCCCCCGCAAAAATAAATAAAAGTAAAAAAAAATAAAAAGTAAAGGTATTTGTATATATCCTATATGAGCAATGCCCTTTGACTACAACTAACTGCTCCTCATCAATCTATAAACATGATATCCACCTTGTAAATACTACTTCCAAATTTCAAATAAACCTCTAATAGGTTCCAGCTTATCATTAATTCTGGTCCTTTTTCTTGAACTTACATCATCAAATGCAGTACTTTGGAAAAATTGAATCATTCAAAAATTTTGTTGAAGACCGCCATCTTCTTTGATCCAGAATTATATTTTCTTCTTTAGACTTTCAAACACCATTTAGAATGATCAATCCACTGATTTTTTTCATTTCTACATGAACTTTTCCTTCCAATCATTTCCATGTAATACACCTGCCTTTTTATTCACTTAGAATCTGTGCCAAGTAAATTGTGGTGTGTAACTATCAAAACCATGGAAGAACACTGTCACATGCCTTTTAGCAAAATAAGATGTTCCATGTTCTTGTCAGAAAACATTGCATAAATTTTGTACAAAGAAGTCCTTTCTATTGAATGACATACTAAGAAAACCAATTTCCTTTTTTCCACAGAAATACACTATGCACTAATGAATTCTTGAGTTAGATAAAAATTTCTGAGTGCTGCTCGCTCTGTCTTTTTAAATTCATCCTCAGATGGTCTAATAATTGTAAAATGTCTTCTTCTGTCAATTTTTTCACCTTATCATTAAGGTCAGAAAATAAACAATTCTGAATTCTTAATTAAATTCAATGAAAGCTGAAAATAAGACCACAAAGATGGTGTCCACAAATTTCTTTTACATCAATTACACCAGTATTTCTCAACCTTTTTTTTTCATTATTGCTCCCCACTAGGAAGCCATTTCAGACCATTTTTTTCTTAATTGCCCCCCCGTGAAATTTTAATACTAAAGATATACTATATAGATGTACTGTAGCTCATTGGAGGGTCAGAAACCATATGATACCTAAAATGTTTCTGCCCTCCCCAAATACCAGTTTCTGTTCCCACTGAGAAAACAAATTTCTATCTTCTTAAAATATGATCCAGTACTTTGGGAAATGCAGTAAACAGAGGGTGAGCCAAAAGTGATGATTTATTTTCTAGAGGTAATTCCAGTATTCTTGTCTTCTCATTATTTTATAGTCCTTACTATAGTAGGAACAACTGATGAATAATGGTGAAATAGTAAAATGTTTTAAGGTATAGGAAAATTAAGATCACAAAGACCCCATAATGAATCCTAAATTTATAAAAACATGTCCAATGAATTTACATATGGTATTGTAAGACAGAATAAATTTTATTTAAGTAATTTTCTCTTTGTTTTTGAAAGACCTCTTTAAAAAAACAAAATTAGGGGTACCTGGGTGGCTTGGTCAGTTAAGCAGCTACCTTCAGCTCAGGTCATGATCTCAGGGTCCTGGGCTCAAGCCCCAAGTTGGGCTCCCCTCTTAGCAGAGAGTTTGTTTATCCCCCTCTCTCTGCCCCTCTCCTTGCTTGTGCTCTCTCTCTCTCAGATAAATAAATAAAATCTTAAAAAAAAAAAGTCATAAAATATCAATCCTTACAAAAGGTTGAAAAAGAGGTTAATATCACTAAAGTTAAGACAATCAGAAAATATGTGGTTCTAGGCAAGAAGTAATAGGAAGTGTTACCTCTAACTCAACTTTTAAATCTAATCACAAGCCATCAGAAAATATATGTGACAGAAAAACCATTAAAACCAGCAGGAAACAATGGCCACAGAGTGCCAAAATATGTAACATTCTACAAAACAACCAACCAGATTTCTTCAACAAGCCAATAGCATGAAAACAGAGGAAAAGAGAGAAACTATTTGAAATTAATAGTATAACCAAATGCAATAAATTGATTTTGCTTGTATATTAATTAGAAGAAAATGATTTATAAAAAGACATCTAAATAAAGATGAATATGAACTATTTTATGACATAGAATCATTATCAATATTAGGTGTAATCACAGCAATTATGATTGTGTAAGAAAATATCCTTTTTACATGGATTATTTATTTAAGGGTAAAACAACATAATGTCTAGAATTATTTTAAGTACTAAAGCAAAATAAGGGAGGTAGATGTAACAATTATAGCAAAACAAAGATGGTTTGAGAGTTCGTAATCAGTTCATGGTTATTTCATTTTGAAATTCTCCGTAAATTTTGAAATTCTACTCCGTAAATATTTAACACATTTAAAATACTTTATTAAAAAAATCATTTAAGATGAACCATGAGAGACTATGGACGCTGGGAAACAAACTGAGGTTTCAGAGGGGAGGGGGGTGGGGGAATGGGGTAACCGGGTGATGGGTATTAAGGAGGGCACGTGTTGTGATGAGCACTGGGTGTTATATGCAACTAATGAAATCACTGAACACTAACTATGGTACTATAGTACTATACAGTGGTTAACTGAACATAACAAAAAAAGTTAAAATTTAAAAAAATGTAGAAGTAATAAACTTTTCCAGTGTCTGGTCATACAACTAGTGACTGACAAAGGCAGGATTAAAACCAAGGTCTTCTGTCTTTGAGTCTAGTGCTTTTGGTATAGTACCATGCTGCTAACACTTCTACTCAAAACTTTGTTTTACAATGCACAAAAACCACCACCCAAAACATTCGTCACAACTGAAAATACATACATAAGATGCAAAAAACTTCTAGATTTCCTTTACTAACGTTATGAATACAGTCCAATGAGTAGGTACTGCTCAGGTTGATAGGTAAGCAAGAGTGCATCATATTCCTTGTTATCAGTTTAGCAGAACTTACTAAGAAACTGATTCTAAATTAAATTTTGTTCAGAGATCTAGAATTAGCAAGTTTAGTACTTCTGAGTATCTTGTTGGATCTATTATAAAACTCGAAGACCAACTAAAAAGCAACAATGTCTTGCTACACCAAAAAGCTGTAATTAATAATTCATTTTACAATAATGAAATATAGTTCATAAGTTGTCACACCACTTTAAAAAATAAACACTTAACATGTAAAGTATAAATTAGGGAGAAGTCCTTCAATTTTTCAATTCATTATCTTTCAAATTTTATTACTTCATTAGATCAAATAGTCCATGCATGGCTGAATAAATTATATCCTTCAGCAGATAAAGTAAATTTCTACCCCAAATTAATTATTTCGAAAACCTGAACCTTTTCAAATAAATTCAATGCTACTTTTTCCCCTCTGTGGAAATGAGATCACTCATCACAAAATCCATATACATGTATAGCACAGATGATAATGAAATTCCTATTTCAGCCAAAGCTTATTCTTACAAAGTGTTGATATCCTTCAATTAATGCTAAGATAAGAGAGTATCTTAAACTATTAAACTACCTCTACCTTGCATTTCCATATTCTTATTTGTACAAAAAGAGTGGTTTTTTGGGGCACCTGAGTGGCTCAGTTGTCAAGCGTCTGCCTTCGGCTCGGGTCATGATCCCAGGGTTCTGGAATCAAGCCCCGCATCGGGCTCCCTGCTTCGAGGGAAGCCTGCTTCTCCCTCTCCCACTCCCCCTGCTTGCGTTCCCTCTCCCGCTGTCTCTCTCTGTCAAATAAATGAATAAAATCTTTAAAAGAAAAAAAAAGGTGGTTTCTTACAAGTTTTAAGAAATTCCTCAAGAGATCATATTACTCAACAAAAATTTATAACTAAAGCTGTAAACTGATATTTAAAGACACCAGAGTACAGAAAATTACATTTTTCCATGATTTTTCAGCTTTAGGAGAATCAAAGTGTTTTATCATAAACCATCAATCAAGGACAAAGACAAGCCAGATTTAGCAAACTTCTAGTCCAAACACTTCTAAATAAAAAAATCAATTCTATATTATTACTGATGAAAGTCCTCTAGCTTAACCTTAAAAAATTCTACTTATAAGGATGAAGATTGGTATTTTGAAGTCAGTCTATTAAGCTCTTAACTAGAATTGTTTGAAAAGCTCTTCTCTGTTGAACTGATATCTGCTGTCAGAGATAGCACTTGGTTGTGTCACCCATTCTAATATGAGAAAATATTCACTACATGCCAAATGCCCCATATTAAAAAAAAAAAAAGCCCGAATATTTCTCATTCATTCCATAAACAAAATGGTTTCCAATCCACTCAACAACCAACCCTGCATGCTATCTAGTTTGACACCATCTCAAAGTATACTACCTATAAATGATCCAGGAATCTATGTATGACATAAGTGGGATAGAGTACTACTGTTACTTCTTCTCATTTATAAAACAGAATTCTACTAATAAAGACTAATAAGACATTCCTCATTTCCTAATATGTGGCAATAACACTATTCTTTATATGGATCTTAAGTTCAAGTAAAATCCCAGGTATATGCCCACTAATTACTACAACAATAATTTTTCCAACTCTCCATTCTCATAGTTCATTTTAATGCATTAAAAAAAGAAATCTCAGTCGTAGTTCTTCAGTTCAGTACATACTTTTCTGCTTCATCCAAACCACTGATTAAAAAATCCAAATCAGATTAGAATATTAGATGAGACATATTTTTCAGAAGATAGACTCCGTAAGAAACCTTATCAAAGGTTGAAAATATTTGAACAATGAAACTCCATGCATCTCATATTATCCACTTAACCTTGAAACTTACATATAAATTTAAATATATATATATGTAAAGTGACACACAGAAAAATCACTTACTTGTTCCTTCTATAAGCAGTTCTTGTCCATGACTACCCAAAAGTGTCCGAGAAAGAAAAGGTGCAAAATCCACAAAAATCTCTCGCAGAAGAGGAGCTGCCTTTTCCAAAGCATGTTCAAGCCTCTCTGTAATACTAATGGAAAGATGCTATATGAACTATTCATTAAATTTACAATTTTCAGTTTTTAAAATGAGTTTCCACAGAAATGTAAAATTCATGAGAAATTAAAAATTACATAAAGACTCATTATACTCACTATACATATCATTCCTTCTGCTGGAATACCCTTTATTATTAAGTTCTATACTACCAACCCCAGCCCTAACAAACAATTTGGTAAACAACCACTCTAAGCATCAGCTCTTACTGGAAATTTTAATGGGTCAGTTGAGAGCACTTGATTTTAACACCATTATGACCTAAAAAAACTCTACCAAATCCTTATCAAATTTGTCTATTCATGGGGCACCTGAGTGGCTCAGTCGGTTTAAGCATCTGCCTTCAGCTCAGGTTATGATCTCAGGGTCCTGGGATAGAGCCCTGCATTGGGCTCCTTGCTTTAAGGGGAGTCGGCTTCTCCCTCTTCTTCTCCCTCTGCCCCTCCCCCAACTCGTACATACACTCTCTCTCAAATAAAGTCTTTAAGAGAAAAAAGTTTGTCTATTAATAAACATCAACACCTTCAGTTCAAGAATTATGTTTTCATTTCTAAGTTCTCAGCTGCAACATATACCATAGGCTCCATAAATATTTATAAACTGAATTAGTTTATATTCTTTTTTCATTGACATCTTTATCTCTAAGAATTTTTTTCTAAAGCAATCTGAACAACTTTTCATTTGAAATTAGTATACTGGCACATTTATAATGACCTCAATTTACATATTAATGTCTTTGTGATTATATGCACATATACATGTATGTATACACACATAAACACATATACAAACACACAAAAATATATATTTAATGAGTTAAAATAAACAAGCTCCCTGCATTTCAGGAAATTCAGAGGTATCCACAACTTTAGTTCCTAACTTATAAATGAAACATATATACAAACAGCCACTACTTACCTATTTATTCACATAAGGAGTACTTCATAATACCAACAAGAGTTTCTACTGAAACTGTCACCTGTTAAGCTGATGGAAATTTCTTCTGCCAATTAGCATCTCGTCCTAGGTACTACCCTTAATACTATTCCTCTCTACTTATAGAGATTCACCTCTGGATAATATCAAACTACAAGATTACACTTACAGCACTCTAGTGTCTATACTTGTGGAGTGCTATGGATTTTCCAGTTGTGGAAGGAGGATCAAGAACTCTGACCACGAAGGCTCTAGTGGTAGAAAATATTCATAGTGTCCCAACTTAGAATTTGAAATGCATATTCCCAATTTAAAAAGGTTAAAATCTACCTACTATTCAGTTTCACTGCGGCTTTGGATGACTGCCTTTAACTTATTTCAGAATTTTTGTAGAAAACGAACAATGGATTTTAAATTTCCAGTTTATAATCATAGGAAACCTAAGTAATAAGTTACTACTTGTGTGATTAAATATTTGTTTTGCATGCAGCACTTATTAATCACAATAGCCACTTCTCATAAACCTTTTACATCTCATAATCTTTAAAAAGTAACTTCTAAAATATTCAAGCCTCTAAATGTCACTTAAGTTTTTTAAAAAAGAAATAGACAAAAGAAAGGTAAAAAAAGAAAAAAGAATTGTAGCTAGACAGTTTAAAGAGTCATCAAAAGGAATAAATCACAAATATCCAAGTTAATAGCTTTAATACCTCATATTTGAAACCTGGTCTTGTGGAACTGAGCCAACTGTTGGCACCGAGGGCAATTTTGCATTAGATGATCTACCACCTATAAAAGAAAATAACCATTTACAGGAACTTTCTGTTTTCAGATAAAGGTTCAAACAAAGAAGCTATCTTTATACCAAGTCAACAAAAAATATTACAATGCATTTTTAAATGTCCATTATAACTTGGATAACATTAAAATCTATCAACAAGGTCCTTCTTTAATCATTTAACATGTTTGATTATTACACCAAGTTTGATTATTTTACCAAGTAACCTATGATCCATCAGCTGCAGAGAATATAGAAAACTAAATTCTGACTCACTAAATTGGCGTCATGATTGCTTCTATCCAACAAGTGGCGATAGAGATTTACAAATAGAAACTTTTTAAAATTGAAGCAAAAAGCATAAACAGCTAATTCCAAATTTAGCCTCAAGCACATAAACCTCCACTTCCATAAAAACTGACCTTATTCAGTCACTTATGCTATAGCCTGAGAGCTTCTGAGTGTAGCCTAACAAACATAACCCAGTAAATACTTGAGAAAACTTTCTTAAATGATTCAAATAGAAGTTATATTCTCTCATTTGTATCCTCAATGTAATTAGAACATAACCTGTTGGTGTATTTGTCACACTGTACTTCAACTGATTTTTTAAATATCCTTCTTCCTACTATACACAACTATTTGACCTCATCTTTTTCATCCATCTCTAAGCCTAGAGAAGTTGACAAAAGAAGGTCCTCAATCTACGTTAACTGCTGAAATTATTCCTTTAATCATTCCCATCTCCCATATTTTACAGGTCAATCTTCCCACCTGCTATATACGTCTCTATTTCCTACGTTTTTAAGTCCATCTCTTTGTTCAGACTACTGTGTAAAGTTAATTTCTACCATGTGATTTCATTTTACTCTCCAATGAATACTTCCAGATACCCTTAAATACTCTTGTATATTTTGTTGAATGGCCAATTCGTCCTCTTATATTACAAAAATATTCAAACTCTTTTATCCTATACAAGAATTATCATCTTTGTTTTCAACAAATAACTGTTTACTTAGCAAGAGAAAAATAATCACCAGAAAAGTAACTCTGGAAGAATAAAAGAACATACAGGCATGAAAACAACATACATTATGACAAGTCTTAAAAGAGTGGATCTAGAAGACTAATTTGTAGGATAATTTACTGAGGCTTAAGGAGTTCTAAAAGCTCAAGAAAGAAAAGGGAGGGGAGAAGCAAGATGGCAGAGGAATAGGAGGCCTAAATTTCATCTGGTCTCAGGAATTCAGCTAGATAGGGATTAAACCATTCTGAACACCTACTAATTCAACCGGAGATTGAAGAAAAGAATAGCAGCAACTCTGAAAAGAAAAGTGACCAGTTTCTGTAAGGTAGGACGCGCAGAGAAGTGAATCCGAGGCGATATTCAGGAAGACAAATGGCAGGGGAGTGGCCGCCACAGCCGCTTCTGACAAGTGATAGAACAGCAGAGCCCAAAATCGGAACCTTTAGAAGTCCACTCCACTGAGGGACATTGCTCAAGTGGCTAAGCTGGGGGGAAACCCTCCCGGGACAGTGTGGTCTCAGGACCCTCAGGGTCACAGAAAGTCCGGGGGTGCCTGAGTGCAGCAGAGCTCCCAGGGATGGGGCGGGGAAGCCGGCTGCAAAGATGGAGCCCAGAAGGGGGCTCTCAGCTCAGGGTTGCCATAAACCGTGATCTGCGGCACAGTCGGGCCACTGCTCTTCCAAAAGGGACCCAACAAGCAGCAGAGCCGGGGAGACCCCCCCTTCCTCCCCCAGGAGGAGCAGCGCGGGAGCGCACCGCAGGGATCTGCTGGGTTTGGAGACTCCACACGGGGTCGAGTGCCAGAGAAAGAAACACTGGGGTCACAGGCCGGGTGAGCAGAGTGCGGCCAGAGACCAGAGAGACGGGAGTGACTGACTGCTCTTCTCTGGGGGCGCACTGAGGAGTAGGGCCCTAAGTTCTCCGCTCCTCCGGGCAGAGATTGGGAGGCTGCCATTTTCACTCTCGTCCTCCAAGGCTGTAGGGAAAGCTTGCAGGGAACAAAAGCTCCGGAGAGCAAACCCCAGCAGATTACTTAGCCCGGACCAGCAAGGACCGGGCAATTCCACCTCTGTCAAAGTCATTTGGGAACCACGGCAACAAGCCCCTCCCCCAGAAGATCAGCAAGAACAGCCAGCCAAGGCCAAGTTTACCGATCAAGGAGAATGGGAGAACTCCAGCGCTAGGGGAATACTGCACATAGAATTCATGGCTTTTTTCCCATGATTATTTTGTCTTTCAAAATTAATTTTTTTAATTTTTTAAAAAATTTTTCTTTTCCATTTTTCAATCAACATCTTATCATTTTTTTCATTTCTAGAATATTCTATCCTTTCATAGTAGTTAACCTTATTTTTGTTTTATATATATATAATGTTCTCTCTTTAAAATTTTGGGATACACTTTCTTCTAACAGACAAAAATATACCCTAAATCTCTAGTGTATGGCTTTGTTCTAGTCTCCTGCCTGATCACATTCTCTTTTTTTTTTTAAATCCTCTTCTTTCTTTTTTCAACCAACTTCTAATCTTATCAATTCCTTTTATAAAATCTTTTATAATTTTCATCTTTACAGTCAAATTCCATCCCTTCCTCGTATTTATCTTTATTTTTATACAAATATAAGCTTTTCTTTCTTTAAAATTTTGGGAGGCACTTTCTTCTAACAGACCAAAATATGCCCAAAATCTAGTGTATGGCACTGATCTATGCACCAGCCTGATCATATTTGATAACATTCTGTTTTCTGTTTGTTTGTTTTGTTTTATCTTTTTCTTTTCTTTCTTTCCCTTTCTTTTCCCCTACTTTCAGGTCTCTTCTGATTTGTTTAGTGTATATTTTTCTGGGGTCTTTGTTACCCTGTTAGCATTTTGTTCTCTCATTTATCTATTCTCCTCTGGACAAAATGACAAGATGGAAAAAATCACCTCAAAAAAAAGAACAAGAGGCAGTACCGACTGCCAGGGACCTAATCAATATGGACATTAGTAAGATGTCAGAACTAGAGTTCAGAATGATGATTTTAAAGATACTAGCTTGGCTTGAAATAAGCATGGAAGATATTAGAGAAACCCTTTCTGGAGAAATAAAAGAACTAAAATCTAACCAAGTTGAAATAAAAAAGGCTATTACTGAGGTGCAATCAAAAATGGAGGCTCTGGAGCGCCTGGGTGGCTCAGTTGTTAAGCATCTGCCTCCGGCTCAGGTCATGGTCCTAGGGTCCTGGGATCGAGCCCCACATCAGGCTCCCTGCTCAGCGGGAAGCCTGCTTCTCCCTCTCCCACTCCCCCTGCCTGTACTCCCTCTCTCGCTGTGTCCCTCTCTGTCAAGTAAATAAATAAAATCTTTAAAAAAAAAAAAAATGGAGGCTCTAACTGCTAGGATAAATGAGGCAGAAGAGAGAATTAATGATATAGAAGACCAAATGATGCAAAATAAAGAAGCTGTGAAGAAGAGAGATAATAACTACTGGATCAGAGGGCAGAATTCGAGAGGTAAATGATACCATAAGACAAAACAATATTAGAATAATTGGAATCCCAGAATAAAAAGAAAGAGAGAGAGGGGCTGAAGGTATATTGGAGCAAATTACAGCAGAGAACTTCCCTAATTTGAGGAAGGAAACAGGCATCAAAATCCAGGAGGCACAGAGAACGCCCCTCAAAATCAATAAAAATAGGTCAACACCCCGACATCTAACAGTAAAATTTACGAGCCTCAGAGACAAAGAGAAAATCCTGAAAGCAGCTCGGGAGAAGAGATCTGTAACCTACAATGGTAGAAACATTAGACCGCCAACAGACCTATCCACAGAGACCTGGCAGGCCAGAAAGGACTGGCATTATATATTCAGAGCATTAAATGAGAAAAATATGCAGCCAAGAATACTATATCCAGCTAGGCTGTCACTGAAAAGAGAAGGAGAGAAAAAAGCTTCCAGGACAAACAAAAACTAAAGGAACTTGCAAACACAAAACCAGACCTACAAGAAATATTGAAAGGGGTCCTCTAAGCAAAGAGAGAGCCTAAAAGTAACATAGACCAGAAAGGGACACAGACAATATACAGTAAGAGCCACCTAAGAGGCAATACAATGGCACTAAATTCCTATCTTTCAATAGTTACCCTGAATGTAAATGGGCTAAATGCCCCAATCAAAAGACACAGACTATCAGACTGGATAAAAAAAACAAGAGCCATCCATATGCTGTCTGCAAGAGACTCATTTTAGACCCAAAGACACCCCCAGATTGAAAGTGAGGGGGTGGAAAACCATTTACCATGCTAATGGACACCAAAAGAAAGCTGGGGTGGCAATCCTTATATCAGACAAATTAGATTTTAAACCAAAGACTATAGTAAGAGATGAGGAAGGACACTGTATCATACTTAAAGGGTCTATCCGACAAGAAGATCTAACAGTTGTAAATATCTATGCCCCTAACATAGGAGCAGCCAATTATATAAGCCAATTAATAACAAAAGCAAAGAAACACATCGACAACAATACAATAATAGTGGAGGACTTTAACACCCCCCTCACTAAAATGGACAGATCCTCTAAGCAAAAGATCAACAAGGAAATAAAGACTTTAAATGACACACTGGACTAAATGGACTTCACAGACATATTCAGAAATTCCATCCCAAAGCAACAGAATAAATATTCTTCTCTAGTGCCCATGGAACACTCTCCAGAAGAGATCACAACCTACGTCACAAATAAGGTCTCAACCAGTACCAAAAGATTGGGATCATTCCCTGCATATTTTCAGACCACAATGCTTTGAAACTAGAACTCAATCACAATTGAGTTGTCGGAAAGTCGGAAAGAACTCAAATACATGGAGGCTAAAGAGCATCTTACTAAAGAATGAATGGGTCAACCAGGAAATTAAAGAAGAATTTAAAAAAATCATGGAAACAAATGAAAATGAAAACACAACTGTTCAAAATCTTTGGGATACAGCAAAGGTGGTCCTAAGA